GACATGATTCACAAACAAAATGAGCTCAGCATAGAAAATCATATGGAACAAAGAAATCGACACCACAAAAAAGCACATAACAAAAATGACAGCAACAAATTCATATTTGCCAATAATTACATATCTGGCAAGGAACTTATCTCTAAGATTTATAGTGGAAGAGTGGATGACCAAACTATGGTACACACACATACTGGCATGCTATGCAGCACTAAAGAATAATGTACAGTCTGCAAAACATCGCATAGTATGGATGAACTTGGAGGACATTATGCTGAGTGACATAAGGCAATCACAGAAGGACAAATATAGTATTAGTTTGTTGTTGTGGAGGGTCAAGGAAAAGTTTACATATGGAGGGAAACTTTCTTTGTTGGTTGCCAGGGGTGGAAGGGGAGGGGAGGAAACACACACACACACAAAATGCATTGACCCATGTCACTTTAGTTTTGTGTATTTTACTGTACATAAATTATATTTCAATAAAATGCATTTTAAAAAATATTACAGCATAGTAGAAAGATATACATGGCTCCACATGGTGTTTTGAAATTTGTTCCAACTGTGGGCTGAGTGTCCTGCAGGTTGGACAGACTGCCAAAATCCAAGAGCTTCAGCATTTCCTTAGAGTCAGGATCTACTTCAATGATCTCCTGATCCAGGGCCTGAGACCTCAGGAACGTAATTATCTCTCCTTTCTCTCTCTTCTTCCTGCAGCTTGTTGGAGATACCTCTCACAGCTCTGAAGACGATTCATCAGATGTATGACACAGGCTGCTATCTTGTTGCGGAGCTTCTTACTAGGAATTATGGTGATCTCCTCACACACACCCTTGTTGATGAGGAAGTTGTTGCCCAGGAATGTGTGGTACTTCTCAATGATGATCTGGCCCACGTTCTTCACAGTTTTGGTGCAAACGCAGCCCTGCGGATGAAGGAGACAGGGTCTTTCGTGAATCAGCGTACCCCTCCTGGAAAGAAGGCAGTGTCCAGCCTGCTGGGAGTGGAGTTCACCGGCAGGGACTGGATCCAGGAGAGAGAATAGGCCGGATGTGCCAGGAGCGCCAGGATTCCTGCCGAAGCCAGTGACCAACTCTGAGGCTGGCCTGGTAGGGCCTGCTAGCACCTGGCCCACAGCCTCCCTTTGGTGGTTGCAGGCTGCAGAAAACTGTGGATGGAGAATGGTTGTGGGGATGGCGGCCTCGATCCAAAACACCTAGCATCTTAATTTTTATTTCTTGAGCATCTGCTCCCATTTATGTCAGGCATTGGCTTTCCCTTTCTCCAAAGTGCCTATGGTATTAGCCAGGATAGACAAGATAATACTGCTATAAAAAAATAAAATAAAAATTAATATTTATTTCTTGTTCTTTCTATACATTCATAGGGGGGTGTTGAAGGGACACTAATCCTTACAGTCAATCAGAGACCCAGGATGATAGAGTCATCAAGCCAGGAAAAGAGGACATGGTAAACCATGCACTGGCTCTGGAGCTTGAACCCAGACATACCAGACATCATTTCCACTCACATTTCATTGTCAAGCCTAGTTACTTCAAGATTATGGGAAAGTACAATCTTACTGTTCTCAGAAAGAAGAGAACTAAAAATACATGCTGAACGACACTAATGACAACCACAGTCTGTCCTTCTGGTCAAGAAATATTCAGTTTGCTTTTCTCCCCTCATAAAAAGTACAATCCTTCCATATCCAAGGAATTTTACTAACCATTCCACCCAGTCATGATATCAAGTGCAAAGACCATAAACTCTGGGTGATATATAATGGTTTCTACCATCACCCCCACCCACACACACACACCAAAAATGAGCTCTGGTGGCATCCTTCCTAAGGCATCTGACTGTTAACCAGAAGATTGGTGGTTCAAACCTACCAGCCACTCCGCAGAAGGAAGACTGGGCAATCTATTTCCGTAAAGATTTACCACCTCAGAAACTCAAAGGGGGTCCCTATGAGTTAGAATCAACTCGATGGAAGTGAGTTTGATTTTTTGTTATGCCAGGTGGTGATAGCACTGCCAGATCAGAAAGACTTGTCTGAATCGCAGCCCCAGATCCCTATTTCAGAGATGAAGGAAGGGGCCTTCCCAGAGGCTTTTTCAGACATTTTCCATTCATTTCCCATACCACAAAGGTTCCCTGTAGCTCTCATGATGAAAATGGCTGCCCTTGGGTAATGTCACCCTCTTTTGTGCTCCTTGCCACTGAATTCTTACCACCAAAATGGTTTCCACTTCAGGCCCCCAAACCCAAAACCCATTGCCGTTGAGTCAATTCTGGCTCATAGTGACTCTATAGGACAGAGTAGAACTGCCCCATTGGATTTCCAAGGCTGTAAATCTATACAAGAGCAGACTGCCACATCTTTCTCCTATGGAGGGGGTGAGTGGTAGGAGATGAGGTCAGATGGACGGCATGGGGCTGGGTCATGCATGACTCATTGTTTACCATAAGTGAGATGGAGAGCCACTGAAGAATTTTGAGCAGAAAAAGTGATTTGATTTGCCTTGTGTTGTGAAAAGATCATTCTAACTGCTATGTAGGAAATAAACTATAGAAAGCAAAGGTGGAAGAAAAGAGATTAGGAGACTTGCTCCCATGCTGAGCTGAGTCCTTCTCTTCTCCCCATCTCCTTAATGTTGGGGAATGCTTTTTTCTTTTCTTCTTTTCTCTTTCTTCTGGATTCATACCTACCTGTCACCTCTAAGTGATGATGATGGTTTGGACCAGGGTGGTAGCAGTGGAGATGGTAAGAAGTAGTCTGATTCTGGATATATTTTGAATGTAGAGCCGGTAGGATGGCTGATGTGGAGTTTGCAAGAAAGGGAAAAATTAAGGATGACTGGAAAGGTTTTGGCCTGAACAAATGGAAGAATGGAGTTGCCATCATCTGAAATGGGGGAGGCTATGGGAGAAAGTTTACTTTTGTTTTGTTTTGTTTTCTGGGCAGTGGGGAGGAGTGGAAATAATGAATTTGACTAGAGACAAGTGGAGATGTTGAGTTAGCAGTTGGATATATAGACTTCAAGAACATTGTCCAAGCTGGAAATTTGAATTTTAGAGTTGTATCTCTAAATATTGTTGTTGTTGTTATGTGCCGTCGAGCTGGACCCAACTCATAGCAACCCCTCCTTGGGTTTCCGAGGCAGTATCACTACGGAAGTAGATTGCCCCATCTTCCTTCCGAGGAATGGCTGGTGGGTTTGAACCGCCAGCCTTCTGGTTAGCAGTCAAGTGCCTTAGCCACTATGCTACCAGAGCTCAAATATAGCTGGTATTTAAAGCCATCATAAGATGACCAAGCAAGTGGGTATACATCCAGAAGAAAAGAGTTCTGAGCATTCAGTTCTTGGGGGTGAGGTTTGAAGGAACCAACATGGGAGACTAGAAAGAGCAACTTGTAAGGAGAGAGGAAAAGCAAGACAGAGGTGTGTTCTAGAAGCAGAGAGTGTTTCAAGAAAGAGTAAATGATTCAGCAGAGTGAAAAGATCCCTGGAGAGAGAAGGAGATTGCTGGAGAAATGTCTTGAGCAGGTAAGAGTGCACAAGAGGAGGGCTGGCCTCAACAGGAACACAGACCCTTCATTCAAAATACCAGGAGGGAAGGCAGAGTATGGGGCCCAGATGCTCTGCTCTTCTTAAGGGTGCCTTTCCTTTCCTGCCTCCGTCACCTGGCCTCAGGCTCCATTGAGATCTTTCCAACCTGTATGTTGTCTTAAAGAAGTGCCCAAGGGCAAGGGCCCTGACCATTTCACTTGAAAAATTCCTGCCATCCTTCAAAGTCAATTATAAGACCCCCCTCTTCTGGGAACCCTTCCCGGATCTTCATAGCCCCAGGTCACACTGTGTTCTCCCTCCTCCCCTTCCTCCAAGAGCCCTGTTGGTATATCGGTTAAATGCTTGGCTTCTAAGCGAAAGTTTGGCTGTTTGAAGCTACCAGCAGCTCTGTGGGAGAAAGATGTTTTAGTCTACTTCTATAAGTATTTCAGTTTTGGAAACCCTGTGGGACAGTTCTACTCTGTCCTACCGGATCACTGTGAGTCAGAATTGACTCGATGACAATAGATTTCCTCTTCCTCCTCTAATTCCAGGAGATCTGGTTTTTCAGTGGGTTAAGGTATTTGGCTGCTATTCAAAAGGTCAGCAGAAACCCACCAGACACTGCATGGGAGAAAGATGAGACAGTCTGCTTTTATAAAGATTTACAGCCTTGGAAACCCTATGGGACAATTCTACTCTGTCCTATAGGGTCACTATGAACCAGAATTGACTTGATGGCAGTGGATTTGATTTTCCTCTAATTCCAAGACTAGCATTTGGGGCATCCATGTAGACTCAGGATAGATGAAGAAGCTACGCCCTCTTCAGCTGCATTCCCACTTATCACCTGGAAGGGGCTTAGAGGAGCAAGTAGCTTTATCAAAAGAACCAGAAAAAGAATAGGGAAATTGGAGGCAAATTATTAATTCCTTCCTGGCTTTGCAGGCTACTTATTCAGGGCTCTAGTCCTGCTTGATACAAAGCCAAGAGGGAAACCTTTCTGGTGCTGTCAGGGAGAAATAGTCAGTAGCTCAGCTGGGGAGGGATCATCTGGAGGAAAAGGAGACAAAAGCCTAGAACAGCTAACCCACTTCCTCCAGGCACATATTGAGTCTTTAGCAGGGCTGGGAAGTGAGCCCTGGTGTTCTGCTTTTCAGCCTACAGTATTTTCTATACCTCATCTACAACAGCCAGTATTAAGGCATTCGCTACAGAACTCGCGCTTTAGCTTAGCTACAACACAGAGGTTGGGGAGAGAAAGTGGACATGGGTGAGGACCCTGGAGAAGAGTGAGCTGTGTTTCCTGCCCTCAGAGAGTTCTGAAATGCCTGGGGAGATATAACATACATGGCCTGGGACAAGCAGAGGACAACAGACAGTGCACTGGAGACAGATGAGCACCTATAGCTTGGAGGAGGCTTAGGGAGTAAGTGGATTTGTCAGACTGACTCCCTTTCCCTGGGGTGGGAGAAACTGGACTGTGTGAATATTTATGAAGGGGTGTGGGGGTGCAAGGATCTCCAGGGTGGTGCAAACAGTTAAGCATTTGGCTACTAGCCGATAGGTTTGGTGGTTTGAACCCACCCAGAGGTCCCTCAAAGAACAGGTCTGACATCTGCTTCTGAAAACTCTAAGGAGCAGTTCTACTCTGCACACATGAGGTCGCCATGAGTTGGAATCCACTCAACAGCAACTAACAACAGTGAGGTGCAGAGGGAGTAATGGAAAGGGACTGTATTTCTTTTTAAACTTTTTATTGTGATTTGGGTGAAAGTTTACAGAGCAAATTTGCTTTGTGTTCAACAGTTCACATACATTTTGTTTCATGACATTGATTGCAGTCCCCCACAATGTAACAGCTCTCTTCCCACTTCTTCCCTGTGGTTACCTTTCCCTATGTCCTTCTTGGGAGCTCTGGTAGCATGGTGCCTAAGGCACTTGACTGCTAACCAGAAGGCTGGTGGTTCAAACCCACTAGCCACTCCTGGTTTTCATCTCTTTGCTATTGTGAACAGTGCTGCAATGAACATGGGTATGCATCTGTTTGTGTCCCGGCTCTCATTCTTTAGGATATATACCTAGCAATGGGATTGCTGGATCAAATGGTATTTCTATATCCAACTTTTTTTTTAATTGTGATTTGGGTGAAGATTTACAGAGCAAATTCACTTTCCATACAGCAGTTCACATATACTTTGTCTCATGACATTGACCACAGTTT